TTCTTGAAAACGGGGCCCACATTGGCCCTTTCCCAGTCCTCCGGGACCTGGCCCGTGTGCCACGAGTGTTCAAATATTCCCGCCAGTGGCTGCGTAATGACGTCAGCCAGTGCCTTCAATACCCTCGGATGGAGCTCATCCGGGCCTGCCGACTTAAAGGCATCCAGTTCCTCTAAGTGACTCTGCACCATCTCAGGGTCTACGCATGGCAGTCTGGCGCCCTGCTGCTGCCTCTCTACAACCCCAGTGAGAGACTTGTCGTGCCCCTCGCTTAGGAACACTGAGGCAAAGAACGCGTTCAGGAGTTCAGTCTTGTCCCCCTGTCCGTCACCAATTGCTTCTGCCCATTTAGTAGGAGTCCTATTCCACCCTGGGCCTTCCTTTTACTCGCTATATAGCTGAAAAACAATTTCTTGTTATCCTTAACTTGGGATGCCATCCTCAGCTCCATGGTAGCTTTGGCCCGTCTAACTGCCATGTTGTATTAATTTTCCTCTGTTTTGTTTTGTTTTGGGGTTTTTTGTGTTTTTTTTAAGACAAGATCTTTTACTTGAAGGTACAATTAATAATTATATTGGTTTACCAGAAAATTCAACCAGTTAAACAAATATAGCTCTACTTATTTCATGTTAGTGACATAACCTTAGTGTGCTACTGAAAAGTTAGTAAAACCATGGAAGACACTGGACTTGACTGTGAAGTAAAATCCATACCAGTCTGAAGTGGTAAAAAGAATCTACTTAGTCACCTGAATTACAATTAACAACATAAATTCATTTCTCAAAGAGGCTACCTGAAACTTTTCAAAATATTCCCTCAAAACTTTCACCTTAAAGATGACTATACACATCACAAATTTTAGTTTAAAGGAGTATGGCATTCCATACTTGAAGCTAGATACTCACAAAAAGAGATATCTTCCTAGCCAAAAAAACATTAAAGTAAGTGAATTTTTGTGGTTTTTGTTCAGTGGACCAAATTAAATTTTTCTGAATTTCTTTTTCTTTCTTTCTTCCTTTCTTTTTTCAGGATATCCCTATTTAAAGAGTTCAGTGTGAGGACCATGCTGTACTGTATTAGATCACAGGAGTTTATTCTGAGGTTATAGATCTTTTTATCAGACATTCATTCTATATCAGTATCAGTAATTCTCTCTTTACCCATGTTTATCTTTGCTGTTCCAGACTGTATGACTACTTAATGGCTCTTTGCTCTTGCATATCATCATTTTGTAACTGCACTTACGTTTTAAAACCCCATCTCTTCCTAAAAAAGGACTCATATCATGTCATTATAATACCTAGCTTAGCCTGCCTACATTCCTAATACTTCTGGTGTTGCACAAACCCAAATATACTGTATTTTCTCACCTAGAACCCACGCTTTTTCCAAAAACAATCTGCTGAAAGTGTGGGCGAACACTATGGCACGGAAACATGGTAATGCTGTTTAGCTGCCAGCAAATGCAGAAAGCAGTGAGCAGGATACTAGCCCCGTGTGTCCGCTGGGGAACCCACACCAACAGAGCTACTGTGGGCAGTCTATCCAGGGCTGAAACTGCAGATGGCCCAGAGCAGCCCCCATCAGAGAGCAGGCTGTTTAACCTTGACCAAGCTGCTGCTGGTTCACAAAAGCCTGGGTCAGTCAGGAGCCCTGACTGAAGTAGGTATGCCTCTGCCCCCTACCTCCTCCAGCAGTCACGTGACAACATATTCCCCACTCCCTCCTCCATCCCATTCTGCCCAGGGCACCAGATAAGGTTGCTTCACCTGTCCCCCACCCCTGCCCCTGCCCTTTCACAGCTAAGTCTGCCAATGAATGAGTAGCAGTGCTTAGGGGATTAATGGAGCAGTGAAAGCCTCCCCCATTCCCTTGCAGCTGCCAGTGTTGCACTACTAGCTGCAACAGGCTGGCTTCTGTTGTAGAGACAAGCCACAATATTGCCATGAGGGATGTGAGGTACATGTGCATCTGCGTGTAGTTTTTTGCATTTTGTAACCTGTTCTGCGTAAGGTTTTTTGCATTTTATAATTTATTATATTAAATTACTTGTTGGTATTTTCAAGGGAATATCTTTTTCTTCATTCTGCCTTCCCAAAACATGGAGCGTTTTATATTTGGGGGCTTGTTATATGCAAGAAAATACGGTACCTGATTGAATGGGGTGCGAGGCCCATCACCCAGCAGGGGAGTTTTCTGCTGCTGGAACGGTAGTGGGCCTTGGGAAGGATGTGGCCCCCTTGAAGGATTCTGCTGTCCCTGAGGTCCTGGTGGCCCTTGCATGCTTCCTTGAGGACCTACTAAAGCACCCTGTGGAGGTCCCTGCTGGCCTTGTGCACCTGGTGGCCCACGTAATTCCTGCGGAGGTCCTAACATTGCACCTTGAGGTGGGGGTCCCTGTAGGCCCCTCATCTCCTGGGGACCATGTCCTAGTAAACCACCTTGCATATGAGGGCCTCTCATTTCTTGTGGATGACCCATCATCATCCCTTGTGGAGCAGGTCCTTGATTATCTCGGGGCCCCGGTGGACCCTGCATCCCTCTTGGGTTAAGTCCCATCAATGGCCCTTGAGATATAGGACCCTGCATCCCTTGAGATCCTGGAGCTCCTTGCATTCCATGAGGAAGAGGAGGTCCTTGCATTCCTCGTGGACCTGGTGGCCCCTGCATTCCTTGACCACCAGGGGGACCTTGAGGACCTAAGTGCCCTTGTGGACCAGGTGGACCTTGTGGTCCCAAATGAGTCTGAGACCCAGGTGGGCCTTGTGGTCCTAAGTGCCCTTGTGGGCCAGAATTACCCTGTGGGCCTGGTGGCCCTTGAGGCCCCATTGGCCCATGGGGGCCAGGATGTCTCTGCATTCCTTGATGCCCATGTAAATCCTGAGGCCTTGTCAGTCCTTGTGGTGGTCCCTGAGGTCCTTGTGGTCCCATGAACCCCTGTGGACCTGAAGCTCCTTGGTGTAGTGGAGGACCTTGAGGCCCCATTTGCCCTTGTGGTCCTGGAGGTCTGAACTGTCCTTGTGGACCAGGGGGTCCCATCTGAGGCATATTCATTGGCATCTGTTGAGGTGGAAGGGGCTGCTGAAATCCTTGAGGCATCTGTGACATTGGGCCTTGTCCTGGGAAAGGCTGGGGTCCGTGCATAGAGCCTCCGGGAGGTGGTGGCTGCGGCACTTGCTCAGTTTGCTTCTGTGCAAGTCTCTCTATCTTCAGTTGCTGTCAGAAAACAAAAACCAGTTTTTGAATAGGCTGCACGCACACATGTATAAGGAATTACTGGAAACCAGAAATTACTCTCTCATTCTCAAGGACTAGCAAACTTTGCAAAGATTTAACGCTCTTGACTTGAATGTTAAATAGAAATGCAACTGAGAAGGACTGGAAATCAAAATGATTCAGTTAATAGACATGTTGACTCATTGCCACCGATGTCACATTAAGTCCATGCACTGGTCAATGAGACAACTTCTGTGGAAATCTAGGAAGAACTTTTGCAAAAAACAGCTTTTCTGCTTTGTAGTCGGGTTCAGAAAGATACTTAACATAAATACACTTTGCTATAATTTGCTACAGTTGAATTTTCTTTACAAACCTCCAAGAGCTGTGGGTTGGTGTACTGAAGGGCTGCCATTTCCTGCTCAATCTCTGCCTGTGTCTTCTTTTTCTCCTCCAGTTTGATATCATCCTTTCTGTCATTCAGTGGCTCTGGCGGGGCAGGGAGAGGGACCTTATTCTGCATCCAGGCCTATAGGGGATAATGATTGCATAAGATCCAGATACTTAGGGTGATATACATTGAACAAGGCAGTGGACAGCATTACTGGAAAAAGATGTTCTGAAACTAGATGGACTAAGATATATTAGGGATGTTTTGTTCTCATTCAGATACTTAGCTGATAAGACTGGATAGCGATGGGACATTTCCATTACATTAGTTTAGATGCTAACCTGGGATGAGCAAGGTCTTAGTCAACTACTTGGATCTAGAGGTGCACTGCTACATCGGTCTGATATCAGATCAGTATTGATATAAAGAAAATTAGCTGCATCAGAAATCAGCCTGATGCAGCCAATAGTTTGGCTGATAAATGCTCGTGTGTGTGCACAGTGCAGCACGCAGGCAGCGAGGAGCAGTCTGGCAGCATGGACAGCTATGTGCAGCTGGTAAGTTTGGTATGGTGGAAGGGGAGGAGGAGGGAAGGGGCAATGGTGGGGGCAGATTAATGCCCCCTGTAGTGTAGGAGGGGGCAGGCGCTGCCCAGTCGGGGCACAGATGGAG